ACATTTAAAACGATCTTTATGCTATCGATTTTTATTAATATTCTTTATTTTTCTGTACCGTACCTCGACATTTGATACCAAGGTGGCATGGTGCAATGTGGAATTTAAAAGATTTAAATGCACAATAATGCGTAGCTTTTGCGTCGACAGACTCGGAGTGATTACTTCACACATATTGATGGCCTTCCCGGTTCACTTTCCAGTTTGAGGTCAGTGGGGTAGCCCAGTGGTTAAAGCGTTTGCTCGTCACGCGGGTTCGATTCCCCACGTGGGTTCAATGTGTTAAACCCATTTCTGGTGTCCCAATTCGTGATATTGCTGGAATATTGTTAAAAGCGGCCACACTCACCTCACTCACTTTCAAGTTTGACAGCTATTATGGGTAATTATACCAACATAATAAGGTTCATGTACGAAGGTCTGCTCTATTACAGAGCTACCCTTTTAATGTTTTTCTGTCTCCTTGAAAATGACTGTTTTGTCCTTCAGTCAAGTCCAAGCAAATAACATTAAGCACAGCAATTTTGTCCCCCGCACTGGTACGCAATTTTGCGTGCCAATGAGTAAAATCGCCGTAAACTGGTGTGAAGTGTGCATAAACCGTGTGGGGCTGCGTACCAGTGCGCAAAGAAAATTTTGAAATGTTCAAAATTTCTGGTACGCATAATCTTCGTATCACTTGCGTGAATTCGAACTAGTCGTGAACATTGCGCAACCTACTCGCAAACATTGCGGGCGTTGCGTATCAAAGCGTGTCAATTTCCGGCCCTGCTCGCATTGACACGCAGTGTCACGCATTGGCCCGCTTTGATCATGAACTGTGTGCGACATGGTCGCGACAGATTGTGCAAAGTTCACGCCTTCTAACTTGTCGTGAAGTGGGCGGGCGGGACTTGCATATTGTTACGACTTGTTCACGTAGTCATGGGGGGACGGGTTCCCGCATAGTTTGCACAGGGCACGAATAGTTTGCGCATGTCACGAAATTGATACGCATTGGGTACGCCTACGTCACGCATTGTTGGCTCACGAATCAGCGACGACCGCGCACTGGGCAGTGCGTACATAAAAGCGTGCCCATCGCCAGTCCCCCACATTCCTCAACTCGACAGTGAACAGTCAACAAGATGCCTGCCAAGAAGATGCCAACCAAAGGAAGAGCAGGACCAGCAGTGGATAGAAGACTGGAAAAAGAGACCGGACAAAAAACAAAGACAGAGAGAGGGGTAGAGACAGAGGTCTCAGAGAGGAAGAAGGATATTTCTCCAGATTCAGCGGACAGTGGTATTGGGTTGTCACCTTATCCCAAGGATATGGACACTCCCATGACCCCCGACACTGAGGGTGTACATATCTTTTACTTAATCCTTCACTTGTAAAAAATTATATATGTTATGTTTTCGCATAAGTAAATGTGTTTCAAAAAAAGATGAAATAAAACCATTTACCTTATTGAGTTTCTTTACATAACGAATTTAGAGAATACTAATTACAGTAATTAACACGCATTAGATCCTGAAACGTCAACAACAACAACAACAACAAAAAAGTCAAAACAAAACAAACCAGTTCTTCCATTTCCTCCACCTGAAGCACCATACTCTGCCCCAACATCAACATACAAGAACTTGTATCCAGTATCTACATGAGTACAATGCTGTGGAAGCCCTTATAATTGTAGTAGAATGATCCAGCTTTGGGTGACTTCTTCATAGCACATTGCTTGCCGTCTACAGCCAACAGACAGTTGTGGATGTTACATCTGCAACTAAAACCTTCAGCAACCTCCTTCCACTCCTCGTCAGTTTTGGGCACCTGGGGTACCTCGTCCATGTGGACCTCAATGATGACTTTGCAGACTTCTGGTAAGAATTTGCAACTCTGAAGCTGTACTGAAGACTTGCACAGGAATTACCAATGGCGCGGAAGCGAAGAATGGTTGCCAGCTTGAGTCCCACCTCCTCATGAATGTGGTCTTCTTGTCAAGATGAGGGGTTAGCTTCTCAACCATGTCTTGGAACAAGTCGTTGGAAATTCCCAGGTAATTTCTGTTGCCTCTTGGATGGAGTCCTGTCATTAATTGATCATAATGTCCGAAGTGATTTCTTCTGGTCAACCATTCCCTCACCCACACTGTCCTTGCTTTTTTTCTAGTCTTTATCTTTGGCCTGCTCTTGCTGCATTTGCAGGTCTTCAAGAAGTAATAGTACTGCACCTGCGAGATATAAACACCTTGTCTTTTCTGCAATAAGAGCTTGTTCTCTTGTGTTCAACATCTTGTAGGTCCACAGCAATGCATAAAGCTGGTGATGATGCCTGCTATTTATATAGCGTGGCGTCAAGCTGGATAAAGCGGGACCACGACTGCTTCACGCATGCGCGACGTGGTTGGAACTATGCTGGAACTATGCGCGTCGTGCGTACCATGTCGTACACTAGACGTAAACAATGCGCCAACAATACTAGACCTTGTCGTAAATAAGTCGTGCAATAGCGTGTCAATGCGTGACAATGCGTGACAATGAGCACCATTTTCGGTCGCGCATTGCATGCCATGTGCGTAACTTATGCGTAAGCAGGACGCGAACAGTGCGCAAACTATGCTTCACGCTTTCATACCACCTAAATTACAAGCATTGCCACGACGAATAGCGCAGCAGTGCGGGGACAAAGTTCCTGCAAGTGTCAGGGTGGCATTATCCTCCTCTGAATCCCGAGACTCTGTCTACGGTTGTTGTGTCATACATCTGACTGACCACGACGTCGCTGCCACGCGGAGCGATGTGGTAGCAGAACATAGTATTATTCTCGTATATCACGAGCATACCTATGGAGCATACCTATATATTCCGTTATCATACACACATGGGTACAATGTTCGAAGCCCATTTCTGGTTCCCGCGATACTGCTGGAGTATTGATAAAAGCGGCGTAAAACTAAACGCATTCGTTCTCATGCCGTATGATTTTGACCGATCATGATTTAACGGTGACAGACGGCGATGATGTGATATTTTTCTGACGGTTCAGACGGTGATATTGCTGGAATATTGTTAAAAGCGGCGTAAAACCCAACTCACTCACTCCGTTGTGTTTCGGTAACAGCAAGTAGATCACTCATACGAGCGTTAAAGGAAAAAGGAAATGCGAACAGAGAAACCGTTTTCCACGTTTGAATCATAACATGCATACACAAAGATCAACATTCCTTGGCTTCTATGGCAGTGGGCTAGGCCACATACCTATACCAACCCATCCCGGTCGGATGTTGCAAGTGTTGGTTATAAGTGACTTATCCTGCTTCTGTTTTAAGAATTGCTCCCGTGCTTCATGGATTGTCGCTAATAAGAAAATGGCTGCTGATGTGGAGATATTTTCATGACAACTGACAGGCGTATACAAGAAACTAACTGTAAGCTGAAAACAAGCATGTATGATACCGGAATATTATAAAAGACAATTAACTGCATGTGAAAATGATGTACGCATGACCCAGTCCTTAATGGGGCCGTAATTACGTTTACAGAGTTGCGTCCCTTTGCGAGCCATCAAAAACCATATGTTCGAAAATAGATTTCATGTTTCTAAATGAAAACCTTTCGGCATCATACCTGTCTCTCAAGGCTTTCGCAGAAGGGTAAGGCCTGAATAACATGAGCTTTCCTCACATTTTAAATTTGACACACTGCGATTAAAAGTAAACCTGCTCAAAGCGGCGTTCCTCCAACCCACTCCCACGATGAATAAAGCACTTTCGTAATTTGCCCCAAATTGGCTTCATGTGGGTTCCGTTCAGAAAAGGAATCGTATCGACGAGGTGATGGTAACTCCAAAACTTAATATTTTCAACCGGGACAACTGCAATAACTTCAAAGTGAAACAGAAGTTTCTTTAAGTCAAGCTCTTTAATATGTCACTAACTCGTGCGGTAGTGGAGTTAAGCTATTTCCGGGGTCATTAAGTGCAAACCGAAATAGCATTCTCCGAAAGACGTAACCCTATTTAGCTCAGAAAAATGAGTGTCGGGCGCAGCGTAATTCCAAACAACGATCAAAAGATAGGTGAGGTGAGGTGAAATTGGGTTTAACGTCGTGCTTGAGAATATTTCGCTCATATGACGACGTGCATGCGTGTGTATGTGTATGTGCTGCTGCTTGTAGGAGCCCAGACTTAAGCTGGTTTAATAGTGCTAGGCCACTGAGATACCATGACGCAGTGAAACATGAATGCTCCACTCAGACACATTATACTGACTCAGAGCCGACTAGTCCTTGTTGTACCCATTAATGCCGAGCGCCAGAATTTGGTGGCTACGCGAAACACATAAACACATAACAAAATGATGCCCTAGTCTGCCAGGTCCGGAGGCAGATGTCTAGAGATCCATTGACCCTTAACCTGTAGGTAGGACATGTGGAATAAAAGGACATGAGAATTTATTGTTAATTATTTACTATATCATGATGAACAAATTTAGCACATCATGGAACTCATCGGCAATGTGTTTCCTATAAACTCAGATTGGGAAACGGAACTATTGTACTCTTCCTGTTTTCAAGTGAAACTCAATGCGTTATAACGTTCTGACAATTTTTACGAAAACTTGAGGGCACTATATAAACAGATTCTCGGTAATATCAATCTATAATTATCCCGAAACGTAACAAATAGCCTAGAACACCGAAAATAGGTACTGTTATAGTTTTAACAATATTTTAGAGATGGACCGCTTAGACACTGAAGAGGTAATGGATCTGGAAAAATTCATACACGTAGCAGTGATAGATAAATGCCGAATATTTCCATAACTATTAAAAATTTAAAATATCTCTTTCAAAAGCAGTGTCTAGTCACTTCCGACTGCGTCATATGCATGTGGTAATGAGACAATATCAAATCCTTAGGTGTTCGAAAAACGGGTAGGTACATCCTGCACCACTGCTGCACCCGTACCAAACACGCGCAAAGTCAAATCAACTGTTAGTCTATTTATGAACCTGTTTCAAGTGGGCGTGACGTCATAGTTCCTCATCGGCATAGGGATGAGGCAGCCTAGTAACTGGCAGTGAACATTAGCAGGATGTACAGCTTACGTGGATGGTGCCTCGTCGCTGTGGTCTGTGCTGTTAGTGGTGAGTACATATATACATGCATATTTATTACAATCTCTGTGATGTGTGTTTAGGCTGGTTGCAGTTTCATGTGAATTATCGTGCTCCTTCCCTGAATGCAGCACCTATCCCCAACACAACACACACTCACACACATATATATCCATTAATACAGAAAGGGGGGGGGGGAGGGGAGTGACACAGAGGGTGACAGGGAGAGGAATTGCCTTGTAGTAATGAGAGAGAGTGGGAGAGATACAGAGAGAGACACATAGACTTGATGTCTGGAAATGCCTTGTAGTACAGAGAGTAAGAGAGAGGGGGAAAGACAAAAAGTGAGGGAGAGAGAGAAAGAGAGAGGGAGATGTCTGGAAATGCCTTGTTAGAAAGAAAGCGAGAGAGAGACACAGAGAGAAAAATAGTGAGAGACAGAGTGAGAGAGAGAGTTGCCACGGAAGGAATCTGTTTCTTGAGAAATACAATCGGAATTTTTGCTCTGATTGTCTAACTCCAAGCGGGCTAATGTATGACGAAGTACACGTTTCAGGTACATAGACTGTCTGCACTCTGCATTTACATACCATACATACACACAAGGCTGTGGTCACCAGCAACGTCATATTTAACATAGGAACTATAAATATGTTTCATAAAAATTCATAACATATCGTGATTTATTATGACAGTATTTCAGAGGATTGTAATCACATATTCCTCAGAAAACACAGGTCATACGGAATACAAAATGAACAACTATTAACTTTCTTTTAATAATATGTAAATGAACCAGGGTGGGAATATCCACTGTTGTTGCTCTCTAACATAGAGGAAATACGTAAATGTAATTACATCTCAGAGATGAACTTCCGATGTCAATGTTGACGTACAAAACTCTGATGCGGCAGATCAATCAAATTATGTTGCTTTCATCATTCCCATTAAATGGCACACTCCAGGTGCTGAGTTCACGGACTGAGCGGTTTCGCCACGAATCGTTGATATACTATGTATTTAGAAATATGACAAACTCATATTAATGTAATCCACTGATTACCAAGTAGTAATACCTATTTGATGTTTGCATAATTACTAAGCATATATGTTGTCGAAATAAAATAACATGTAAAACACACAGGGTGTAGAAATACGTTTGTAATTGAAATGGTCTCGTCCAATACTCTGAGTGGAGTGTGGCACGGCATGCATCCATAAAACATATACAAATTTAATTATGAAATTCTGCATTCAGATTGAAATGAGAATGTGGTGTGATGAAAAAAAAGTGATCACCTAATGGCATCAGCATCTGCAACTTATCTGGTTTGAGACAATTAACATAATATCCGTCTGTGAGTCCCACTGCATAGACGATATGGACACTTGCCAGTTGTAAGTGCAAGTACGTATAGCCTTAAGTTTTGATTAACACTATGGTACAATTGGCTCTGAAACCTCGAAAAAAACGTCATATGGTCGATCAGAGTTGTCTTTATCTGACACTGAATCCATGAAAATATTTCCTTAAAGTAATTGTTATTTTTTCTAAAAGTACTCTGTACCCTGTGGAATCGGGGAAAGATAGATACGTAGATGCGCAGACAGACAGATAGATAGATAGGTACACAGACAGATAGATAAATAGATAGATAGATAGACTGATAAACAGATAGATACACAGGTACTCTATATCTTCAGTGTGATCTGATTTTTGGGGGGTGTTTGTTCACCCACGTGTCATGCCGACGATACTTTTGACTTGTTACAACTAATAGCCACATGCTATGTTTATAAATGTAAGCTGAGAAAGATAATTCCTATGATGTCACATTTCAGGAATTAAAGTATTATTATCTTGTAGAAAAAGCCACATATCGTAATAAATCAAAGTTTAATGAATTCGAAAGCAAATGGGCGATGCATGTAAACCTTGTAAGTGATTAGATCAATGTTATGGTTAGTGCATGCATGGGTATGAATGAGAGAGCGAGTAATATATCTGCTCTTTTTTAATTTTTAATTTTTATTTTATTTTATTCATTTTTTTTGCGCTTCTATTATTTCTTTTCCTCATGTAGTTTAAAAGAATATGTACTTCACTGAGAAAGTGTAACCCCAAACATAACATGTTACATTTGACCACTTTTTGAGAAACACTCTAATTTCCTGTAAATTATAACAGCTGTATTGTGGTGAAAACGTACAAAGATATTTCTGTACAGCTATGAATGAATGAATGAATACCTGTGAAAAAAAGAAAAACACAGACAGACAGATAGATAGACTGATAGATAGACTGATATGATAGAGAGCTAGATAGACTGATAGATATAAAGATAGATAGGTAGATTGACAGACAGACAGATCGATCGATAGATAGACAGATGTTTGATATGGTTCTTATACGGATTATGACACGAGCAACATATATAATTGTCTGACGCGATAATTATATCGAGTACTTGTGATAATTAATGTTTAACATAACATTCAAAATACACATGGGATAATCTGGGAATTATTATTACTTTCCTTTGTTTGACTTTACAATAACACATAGCATTTTAATATGAAGAGGATTGAGGACACAATCGCGCAGCTTCAAAATAATAACTCTATGACATGACCTTTAGGAGTGACCTTTGTCAACAATAATCACATAACTGCTCCTCGTTTATAAAGGTCAATGTCATGTATATCAATACTGCACGCTGTATGCAGTTAACGTACGTATATATATATACGTTTCCAAAACACGAAATAGGTCAATGAATTTAAATTTCTTTCACATCGTAGTTTTTCTATATTATAGTCACTTTTCAAGGGGAAACGCCATGGGTTTGTGTTACATACGAACTGGCTTTTATGTCCGTGTAGGGGCCGGTGGGGTAGCCTAGTGGTAAAGGCGTTCGCTCGTCACGCCGGTCACCCGGGTTCGATTCCCCACATAGGCACAATGTTTGAAGGTTATTTCTGGCGTCCCCCGCCGTGATATTGCTGGAATATTGCTAAAAGCGGCGTAAAACTAAACACACTCACTCATTATGTCCGTGTAGCCTTACGTCCGTACAGGAAGAAGTTTCGAAATAGATCCTTTAGCCTCTCACAAGCGCATGGTTAAACTGTCGACGAGTGTTCGTATGTATCTGAAAATATTTATCTAATGCTGATCTGGTGTGGGTGAAATTTGGCATAGTGTAAAGTATGGAATGGATTTTGGAATGGAGTTTGGATTGGAATGATGGAAATGGAATTTGGAATGGGATTAAATGGAATATACTCATCTTGTACTAAACAAACCAAGTGTTGTGCCGCCCTTGTTGTGCCGCCCATTAATTAAATTGACGGTTTGTAAACAGTTCGGGAGTCACTTTCCCTCTCGCTCCTAGTTTCTTACACCCCCACCCCCCCCCCGTCCGGATGGAAGATAAGGCTTGTGGCAGACAGGGGTGTGGCAATAGCCTGTCTCGCAGCCCCTTAACCATTTTATTGTTTATCCACGGTTTCAGTGCAAATTGCTCCGAGTAGAGCTGTGGAGTGAGTTTAGTTTTACGCCGCACTCAGGAATATTCTAGCTATATGGCGGCGATCTGTGAATAATCGAGTCTGGACCAGACAATGCAGGGATCAACAGCATGAGCATCGATCTGCGCAATAGGTCCCGTTAGTCGCCTCTTACGACAAGCATGGGTTACTGAAGGTTTATTCTAACCCGGACCTTCACGGGTATAAGGACAACGAACAGCCCTTCCGTATTCCTTTTATGGCAGGATTGATAAAGAAATGCTACGGTTGTAGTCAGCAGTTCACACCCACACCAAGAATACTTCCTAATGATTTACTTTTGAAATGGATTGATCACAGAATAAACCAAAGTCTAAAGAGCAAGGAAAAAAGGAAAAGTATTTTTCTACAAAATACTTATTTCCATTTAAATGCGGACTGTGTTGGAAGGGTTTGTCCCAGTTTTGAAATGTGTCAAGTCTTGATGCATAACGAAATCAATTGACAGAAGAGCACAAGAGGATATTGTCGCGACTACAAATCAAATACGACTGGACTTCAGAACACTTGACCACACCAATAATTCAATGATGAAAACTATACCCCTTCAAATCTGTTAAGTTATTTAATACGGAGCTTCGTCTGTGTACTGGGGTATGGACTTAAGAAACCCACAAGCTAAAGTCTTTTAATAACCACTGCTAATAATTTGGATTTAATGAGATGACTGGTATACTATAGTAGTACGTAAGGTCTTGACAGTACCTTGGAAAATATATTCCTCTGAATCTCTGTCTTTGGACACAATAGTGGAGTGGACAACTTGTTCTTATTTTGTATATAATCAAGAAATTGTGATTTTAAGTGACAGCTATATTGAGACATTGTAACATTTGTGATAATATAGACATTAAAGATTGCTTTTTATGATAATAAACAAGATTAATATCAAAATTAGTTCTAATATATATGTTATTTTACTTCACATGGTGTTCTGTTGTGCTTCGTAAGAATATCTTGACGCGACTATTGTGTTGAATAATCCGTTTCCTCCTCTATATATGTCTAATCCTGCCACAACACAGGTGCCTGCCACCATTCAGGCGTGCCGTTAGCCTTGCTTCAAAGACGTACATAATAATAATTGCAGGGATATAATTAATTCTATCCCCATAATAAGCAAGTCTAGATACGTAGACAGCACATGCCATAGGCCTTTCTTCGAGACACCTTCTAATCTTATTATCTACATAACCTAGAAAGTATTATTTAAACTCAAAACTTATTCACCCAAAGACATGTGCCTTTGAGTGTGTGGTGGATGGGCCATGGCTGAAGAGAGAAGCTGACCCACGTCTTATCTTACGTGCCATATATCAGTGACTAGCTGTTTATAAACTGTCTTAGCATATTAGAGTGGAGACTTGTTTATATATAGGAAATCTGTGTCACTCCAAATTCCATTCCAAATTCCATTCCACTATTCCATTCCAAATTCCATTCCAAAATCCATTCCATACTTTACACTATGCCGTGAAATTTAAGTTACGTGAGCTTTTCCGGTGACTGATGCCGTGCCCATCTGCAAACGTCTTTCCCGAAACTAATCTTTCAAAAAAGCGTATACTTTATTAACGTGTTTCCACGAGCGATGATCCCTGAACTGATCCGATTTTCAATATGGCCGAGCCGGTATTCATTGTTATTACTAAGTCATCTTTGCGCAAAGAAACAAAGTAGTTTCTGTAACCAAAATAATGATAAAAATCAACTGAGAACTAGGAAAATATTATTTAAAACCCCAGTCTATTGAACATGACTATTTTATGTAACTTGTATACATATAGTTACTTGTTACTGTATAATTACATGTACGCAAACATTTACCTCCAAAAGCATTTCATCTCTTTATTATTTTTTAATTTCCTCATAAAATGAAAAAAGAAAATTACCTACGGCAATGCTGTTATTCGATTCGTTCCACATATATAGTATCTGAGACATCTATTTTCTATCCATTTTGAAACCGGATGTTGAAACCATCCACTCCTTTATAAAACTAGAAACTGGTTTCACTTTGAAACCATGTATCCGAAACTAGACACTCGTTTATAACAGGAGAAACCAGTTTCAGAAACCCAAACCAGTGTGGCAATAATCGAACAGACCCTTAGTTTTCTCCTAATTTTACTGCCTTCCCCCCCTTCCCCCCCTAAACACACACACACAGACACACACACACGCACCGCCCGCTCGAACCTACAACGGACCGCCTCGTCATATAAAATGTATATTATCTTTTAATCAGCTGCTGTCACAAGTAAAAAAACCCGCAAAAAATTGTAATAAGAATTGCATTAAATGAGAATCAAGAACATTATTCAGATAATTTTGTTTTTATTAAGGTTTTTTTTCCACGACCGACCGGCCCATGTTCAGAATTTGGTGGCTACGTGAAACACATAAAACAATGATGCCCTTATAACAGTTACGTGTTATTGAAGACACGCTATTCAGTTTGGAAGGACGGTCACCACAAAGTATTTCAGCATTTCTTGCTTACTCAAATACACATTACATGATATACTGTTGGTGGTCTTTTTGATAACTTTTTCACGGGTATTGTAATCATCTAAAGTCATAACTTATCAAGACGAATTTCAATTGCCAGTTACAAATGACTGCGTGTACAGTTACCCTTGTCCATTGTGCTGTACTATCGACACAATGCTTGTCTTGAAATATAGATATCTCGATTTCCGTTTCTCCGTTAACAAGAGATATTGAATGATATTTTATCGGAAGTGAAATGTGTTCTGAAGACATGATAGCTTGTGTCATTCCTGTCCAAAACACATTACACACCTACCGCGTTTTCGTATGCCAGTTGTTTTTAGGGTATAGGAAGTCAAATGTTTGTAGACTTCCATTCTAATAGGACAGGGGTTCATACATCAATACAGGCGGTAGGTAGCCTAGTGGTTAAAGCGTTCGCTCGTCACGACAAAGACCCGGGTTCGATTCCCCACATCGGTACAATGTGTGAAGCCCATTTCTGGTGTCACCCGCCGTAATATTGCTGGAATATTGCTAAAAAGCGGAGTTAAACCAAACTCACTCACTCATATATCATTATCTTCAAAACGACATTGTTCCATTTGGTGCCTTTATGTTGCAACTTACAACTTGTGTCATCAATGACTGTCAGTGATACATTCATAACTTATGCCGCTACTTTGCACCAAGTGGAACCACGTGCACCAGTTTAAATTTGTTTCTAAAATGAATTGATACCTGCCTTAACGTTATATATACATGACGTTCTGTAGTAATGGTGAATCACGCTTCTCTCTATTACAGGCACAGAAGATGTGATGGTATTTGTGACAGACAAGTCGAATGAAGTATCTGGTCAAATACACCGTGTCAATGTGACGTCACGAGTCGTCTCTACACTTCCATTATTCAAAGTTATAAGGCCCGTCGCTATTGGATATGACAGCTTGACGGAAAATATCTACTGGAGTGATGTCATGTCCAAAGAAATTCGGTCAGCCAAGTTTGATGGCACCAAAGAATCAACACTGTTGGATCTCGATACACGTAAGCACAAACGTTCCATCCTTATAGAGTCAATATCATACATTTGATCATGTATTAGCTATATGTCGAGTTATCCGTATTTCGACTCAACGAGGTACAACTGCTTGTATGTGTCAGGAAGAATTTATTTGTGGATTTTCCAGCCTTGGTGTTGTGATTTGAACGTGGTCCTAACTTGTTCAGCAGAGGTTATCTCGATTTAACCATTTAACCTTGACAAAACCTTCTGAAATTCTGAGTGAATTAGTGAGTGAATTTAGTTTTACGCCACACTCAGCAAAATTCCAGCTATATAACGGCGGTCTGTAAATAATCAAGGCTGGACCAGACAATCCAGTGATCAACAGCATGAGCATCGATCTACGCAACTGGGAACCGATGACTTGTAGTCAGCGGGCCTGACCACCCGATCCCGTTTGTTGCCTCTTATCTGAAATTCTGACACATACAAGGCTCTAATACGTCACGGCGTATTTAGAAGCCATCTCAACCAACAAGTTTGTCCCAAAAGAGTCACAATACTGTTCAAATGATTACTATAAAACGTCGTTATTGTAACGTCAATATACTGCCACTGTCAAAGCTGTTTCAGTGGCCAAAAGCAGCGATAACGTGTCATGAGTATATGTTGGAGTTACGATGCTGCTATGGCTTGCACGTTTTAGAGGTCGTACGGTACATGGTACAAGCACAGCGAATGAAAATAGAAAGCCAAAAGAATGCTAGTCTGTCTCACAGTCCCTGAACAATATTATGTTCCCTACTGTCTTACCTTCTCTGCCATGGTTAAGCCCTAAATGATGCAAATGTAATCTCTGGTCTCACAGGGGCTCCTTTTCGATTTCAATGGGTTTGTTTGTTATCATCAAGATTATATATATTCAGAGACTAAGCGTTAGTCTAAAAGAGTACCATTGGGTTTGGGCTATACTGTGTACCACATACGTGAGAGCGTGACATGCGTGGGAGAAAGGCCCACAGTTGCCTTAGTCATCGCCTACGGTATCCATTCTTCATGATACTGACATCATCTTCCATTGTTTGTAGTTGGTTTAGGAAATCGCCACTGTGTGGTCAGGAAGGATTTAGTGTCGTGAAAACACGTGATATAACGCTACGGCATAGTGTTCTGGTCATAGTACACACCGTATTCGCTACAATAAGAAACCTATACGCTTATCATACCATACACAACCGAGATCTAACGGAAGTGAACATAATAGTATTAGGCAGTGTTATCATTTTGGGAGAGTGTTTGAAGTGTATTGCATTGTTTCTGATGGCATTCAGTTGGAGCGATGGTGTGTTATCGTCAGACTTGTACTATATTTAGGCATTTCTTGAAGGTAATACAAGTTAATACAACCGCGATAGGCCTTTCTAGCATAGTCTTACCCAAAACATTGTGGAAACCTCTAGGAGTGTTACACTTTATACATAGTGGAATGGAGTTTCGGCCTAGGCCCATTTTTTATGCTTGACTGCTGTGAATATTGTAATCCCTTCAGTATTATAATTATTACTTATATTACATTACTAACATGATTGTATTTGTACTGCCATCGTATTGGTGCTGTCACGCTATATTACTGCCAGTATAATTCCTTTGTAGAGATTTGTATTGACTTGTAAAGTTAGGTACATTGATACGTGGCCCCCGTTGGAAGAAGGCGCTTAGTACAGGGAGCAAGTCAGTGAGTGAGTTAGTTTAGTTTTACACCTTTTAGCAATATTCCAGCAAAATAACGGCGGTGGACACCAGATATGGGCTTCACACATTGTACTCATGTGAGGAATCGATCCAGGTCTTCAGCGTGACGAGCGAACGCTTTAACCACTAGGCTACCCCACCGCCCCCTTAGCACAGGGAATACTGTAGTAGCCTATATACTATCGGGAGAATAGTATTAGAATAATAGGTTGTTGTTGATTGTGTCAACCTTCGGAGAGGGATAGAATTAAACAAACAGCCTTATTGTTCGTCTTATTCTTACTCCTGTCTTGATCTGGACTCGATCACTCACCGATTGTCATGATCTAAATTGACGTACAACAGGAAGTACACACCTTGTGCTTTGTTTCGATGATAAACAATGTGTTCAAGCTGCAAAAACACCAGGTGAGACATTGCTATCGACACAACGTAGACAGTGCAGTTGGGTTAATAACATGCCCCGAAATGGTCGATAGGCGATGCCAACAACACCTGTCGTTTCATCACTGTGATGTGGTGACCCAACGTTGTTGATGTTGTGTGCATCCGGTTGTGCAGATAATGAATGCGTAGGTGATGATTATCTTGAGGAGTGGTAACTGTCGGTCTTCCAGTGCTGGATCTGTTAGAGGTCCATCCAGTCTGGATGACGCGTCTCATTAGTCTGATGATGGTCTGCGTTGTACAGCTGAACGTTCTGGCAACACGGCTGCTAGAAGCCCACACCTGCGACTATCTACTGGATGGTACTCTTTCCGCTGATGATATATCTTGCCATTTCAGGGCCGTAGGTAGCTCAGGGGGCAGCTGATTACAGATTATTTTTTGTACATCAAAGTATTGACATAACACCCTTTTGAGTGTCATATACCCTCACCGCAGCCCTGAAATCCACACCTAAATTAATGACGCAAAGATTGCGGGCAGCCCATCTGACAGATGATCGGTACCAGAATAATACACCTAATAACATATGATTACAACAACAATTAATAAATAAATTGATATAGACAACCCCAGTCTAAGTAAACTTAGGGTCAGTATCATTCGTTACACTCCTCTAATGAGTCTAACAAAACCTTGTAGATGGTCGCGCCAGGCTAACCTTTTGGACTGACCAATCAGATCACAGCTTACCAAATCGCGAAAGTTAACATTCGGACATATCGTTTGAACCTCTACCTCAAAAACTCGAATGCTATAAGAAGGTCGATTTCATCCGGAACCTTAGACCCTTACCGTTTCATGGCCACACATATTAGTGATTGTGAAAGTGACAGATGTTTGTAATTAGTTTGGTGGCTATTTTTCCCTGTAAAACTTGATAATGTACAGTGTTTTTCATGAAACTGAGGGAAATGAGGTGCTGTTTATTACCTGAGCGTAAATAAAGAACACATTGCACAGTCTAGTGTCACAATACACGCTGAGCTGGTTCACGTATATGTCATCGTATCTCACGTAAATCGATTCTCATGATGTCAATCACTGGATTGTCAGGCCCGAAGTCGAATATTACAGACATGAGTGCAATACAGGTTCGCATAATGAATGACACTGTTATATTTAGAACAGTCAATCATGTAACGAATGGTCATATGATTTTTCAGTTGCTAAAGCAAATGTCCCAAGCTACAATATCGTTCTATACCCATAATGTATTTTAATAATAATATTATACAGAAAATTAATCTGACAAAATTATCTTTACCTTTGCAATCAGAAACTATAAACTGTAACAGCATTATATGAGATAAAATGGTCGAAACCTAGTTTTATCTAATCAAATGTCGCTTTATATATTTATGCTTATACCCGACACATACCTTTTCGAATCTCAATAACATCAAATATTATGCTTTGATGCAGTACGTCTCTGCTTTCAGACCTAGAGACATCTCCATGAATGATCATTACTACCCTGTATAACTTTGCCCTCCAATTTAAAATATGGATAATGTTCCTGAGTGAGTCAAGACCCATCCTTTTAGAACGCTTTGGCTGCGTTTCTTTACCACCTCTGTTTTCACAAACTGAAGGGCACAGGTGGGTCGGTCATCCAAGGCGCAGAGTTTGCTGTTCAGAGTTGCCTCCCTTGGGCAAAACAGACACTTGTGATAGATGGTTCGAATCCCGGTTTCCCCCGATTATTTTTTAAGGCTGTCGGAACCATATGCCCTAGGGTTTCACTGAAGGTCTAAGACGTGCATCACTTCGGGTTTTCCTAATCCTATAAAGGGACACGCCGTAACACAACAGGAATACTGTTCAAAGTGGTCTGTAACTCAACTTGCTTCTCATGACGCACTACACAAATATGCATTTGATGGTACCTCATTTTAAGAAAGATGTCGCTGAACTTGCAAATGACAGGGTGTAGAAAATAATTACAACCATACACATAAACATTAATAAAGCACCAATTACGTTTTCATTTTATAAATGCGAAAACACTATATGACGTGTTGTTTTATATACTTTGATGAGCAAATACTGCGTGTTAACTGTAACATTTACCCAGGTTAAAATAAACAACGGAAATTGGGTAAAAGTTTAAACAAAAACGCGAATATCAACAATGCAAGAAAGTATATGGTCAAAGAATGATTGTATGAACCACCTCTGGCGACCACATCAGTACCTGGTGTAGCCATCCCTCTCACGGATAACATATATCAGTTACCTCCACCTCCTGCCCCTCGCAACCACCCCCATCTCCTCACCCCCACCCTCCATTATGGAAATCAAGCGACAACATGGTGATATGCCTCGTTATGACGTCTCCATACACAACAACGACTATCGGTAACGTGTAGAAGATTGCGACTTTCATAAGCCCAATGAACCCTGTGCCATGTCTTCAAGTTGCGGTTTTCTCGGAGCCTGCACTTCGCCATACGTTCCTGCCTGTGCCTCTCGATGGCGCGCCAGATCGGAATACTTGTCCTCAGACCATCAGCCCAAATCGGCATTGGTGGATAGCCGGTGCAGTTCTTGGGAATCGGTCATAGGATTGTGTCTCCTGACGAATAAGGACTCAGTCAAAGCGATCGTTTGCATGCTTCCGTATTCCAGGTCTTGGACGATCCATCACTTCACCGATGGCCACTTGTTTCTTCACAAGTCAACCAATAACCTTGTGGTTAATGTTCAATTTACCAATGCTGTTGAGTCATGCATGCCAAAATCGCATAGTTTCTGAAAGTCTGGGACTTAAGGTGCCAATAAAAGTTCATTTTTGGCATTGTAGTCTTTCAAACAAGTTAAAAAAAACAGAACTTTATATATATATCCCTTTGTGCATGGCACCTTCACAGCACGCGAACATGTGACTAACATCGTTTTCGGTATAGTGTGAAGCACGTACTTTACATGTGCATTCCAGTATGTAGGTTATGACCGCCTGATCGGATCAACATTTTTCAAAATTGCCCTCGGATTCAGGTGGTACTTAATTGTTTTGATAATTAATGCTCATGTGTATATAATTTGGCGCGGCTTTCATAATGTACATTGGGAAAACACGTTTTAGGTCGTTTCGAGATGCGCTGATCTGCTTGTTTCCCGTATTCATAATGATAATTTGCTGCGGTGGGTAGCCCAATGGTTAAAGCGTTCACTCATCACGCCAGGATCTTGGTTCGATTCCCCACATGGGTACTATGTGGCGACATCTGCTGTCCGTCGCCATGATATTGCTCGAATAGAGCCACAAGCGGTGTAAAACCATACTCACTCATTCAAGCTGATAATTTAGAAGCCTCGACGCTTATGGGTTGATCAGAGGATATTGCAGGGATCGTATCGGCGAAACAGACTTTATCTGTACCATTCCTTATTTTGTTTCCAGATGCTGTCCCCGATGGTTTAACCATTGACATGAACCATCGGAAACTGTTCTACACGGATGCTGGAAACCACATCATCTGGGGTGTGGACTTGGACGGGCGCCAGGCGAATGAGGAGATAATTAACGAGAATCTTGAAAATCCCAGAGCTATAATTACATACTCATCAAAGAAGTAAGTATAAATAAAAACAGTTGTGGAAATTACAAATAAGGCTTTCCCTTTCCAGGAAATGTTCATGTAGACGTAAAGAAAGTTTAATTCCTAGAAATGGTGATTTTCCCCGATATAATGCTGGGTGATGTTTAACTATAAGTATGTTCATTATATTTTGAATGGGGCAGTGAATCAAGTTTAATACCGCAAGTTTTACCACAATCATGAGTGAGTGAGTGAGTTTAGTTTTACACCGCACTCAGCAATATTCCAGCAATATGGCGACGGTCTGTAAATAATCGAGTCCGGACCGGACAATCCCAGTGATCAACAGCATGAGCATCGATCTGTGCAATTGGGATAAGATGACATGTGTCAACCAAGCCAGAGAGCCTGACCACCGGATCCCGTTAGTCGCCTCTTACGACAAGCATGGGTTACTGAAGGCTCATGCTAACCCGGACCTTCACGGGTCCAATTCGTGACAGAAGAGAGGTGAGGGGTCTCGATGAGTTACACAGAGAGGGTGAGAGAGAGTGGGAGAGGTGCGAGGTCCCTGTGACTTACAGAGAGAAAGAGAAGAGGGTTGAGGGGTCTCGGTGAGCTTCACAGATGATGTGAGAGACAGAGAGAAAGAGAGGTGCGAGGTCCCTGTGACTTACAGAGAGACAGAGAAAGTGAGAGAGATAAGAGAGGTGAGGGGTCTCGATGAGTTACACAGAGAGGGTGAGAGTGAGTGCAAGAGGTGCGAGGTCCCTGTGACTTACAGAGAGACAGAGAAAGAGAGAGAGATAAGAGAGGTGAGGGGTCTCGATGAGTTACACAGAGAGGGTGAGAGAGAGGGTGAGAGGTGCGAGGTCCCTGTGACTTACAGAGAGACAGAGAAAGAGAAGAGGGGTGAGGGGTCTCGATGAGTTAAACAGAGAGGGTGAGAGAGGGGGGGAGAGGTGCGAGGTCCCTGTGACTGACAGAGAGACAGAGAAAGAGAGAGAGATAAGAGAGGTGAGGGGTCTCGATGAGTTACATAGAGGGGGGAGAGAGAGGGAGAGGTGCGAGGTCTCTGTGACTTACAGAGAGACAGAGAAAGGGGGAGAGATAAGAGAGGTGAGGGGTCTCGATGAGTTACACAGAGAGGGTGAGAGATAGGGGAGAGGTGCGAGGTCCCTGTGACTTACAGAGAGACAGAGAAAGAGAAGATGGGTGAGGGGTCTCGATGAGTTACACAGAGAGGGTGAGAGAGAGTGGGGAGGTGCGAGGTCCCTGTGACTTACAGAGGGACAGAGAAAGAGCAGAGGGGTGAGGGGTCTCGATGAGTTACACAGAGAGGGTGAGAGAGGGGGAGAGGTGCGAGGTCCCTGTGACTTACAGAGAGACAGAGAAAGAGAAGAGAGGTGAGGGGTCTCTGTGATCTTCACAGATGATGTGAGAGACAGAGAGAAAGAGAGGTGCGAGGTCCCTGTGACTTACAGAGAGACAGAGGAAGAGAAGAGGGGTGAGGGGTCTCGATGAGTTACACAGAGAGGGTGAGAGAGGGGGGGAGAGGTGCGAGGTCCCTGTGACTTACAGAGAAACAGAGAAAGAGAGAGAGATAAGAGAGGTGAGGGGTCTCGATGAGTTCCAAAGAGAGGGTGAGAGAGAGGGTGAGAGGTGCGAGGTCCCTGTGACTTACAGAGAGACAGAGAAAGAGAAGGGGGTGAGGGGTCTCGATGAGTTACACAGAGAGGGTGAGAGAGAGAAAGAGAGGTGCGAGGTCCCTGTGACTTACAGAGAGACAGAGAAAGAGAGAGAGATAAGAGGGGTGAGGGGTCTGGATGAGTTGCACAGAGAGGGTGAGAGAGAGGTGCGAGGTCCCTGTTACTTACAGAGAGACAGAGGAAGAGAGAGAGATAAGAGAGGTGAGGGGTCTCGATGAGTTCCAAAGAGAGGGTGAGAGAGAGGGGGAGAGGTACGAGGTCCCTGTGACTTACAGAGAGACAGAGAAAGAGAAGGGGGTGAGGGGTCTCGATGAGTTACACAGAGAGGGTGAGAGAGAGAAAGAGAGGTGCGAGGTCCCTGTGACTTACAGAGAGACAGAGAAAGAGAGAGAGATAAGAGGGGTGAGGGGTCTGGATGAGTTGCACAGAGAGGGTGAGAGAGAGGTGCGAGGTCCCTGTTACTTACAGAGAGACAGAGGAAGAGAGAGAGATAAGAGAGGTGAGGGGTCTCGATGAGTTACACAGAGAGGGTGAGAGAGAGGGGGAGAGGTGCGTGGTCCCTGTGACTTACAGAGAGACAGTGAAAGAGAGAGAGATAAGAGCGGTGAGGGGTCTCGATGAGTTACGCAGAGAGGGTGAGAGAGAGTGGGAGAGATGCGAGGTCCCTGTGACTTACAGAGAGAAAGAGAGGTGCGAGGTCCCTGTGACTTACAGAGAGACAGAGAAAGAGAGAGAGAAGAGAGGTGAGGGCTCTCGGTGAGGTACACAGAGAGGGTGAGAGAGAGGGGAAGAGATGCGAGGTCCATGTGACTTACAGAGAGACAGAGAAAGAGAGAGAGAAGAGAGGTGAGGGGTCTCGGTCAGGTACACAGAGACGGTGAGAGAGAGTGGGAGAGATGCGAGGTCCCTGTGACTTACAGAGAGAAAGAGAGGTGCGAGGTCCCTGTGACTTACAGAGAGACAGAGAAAGAGAGAGAGAAGAGAGGTGAGGGGTCTCGGTGAGGTACACAGAGAGGGTGAGAGAGATGGGGAGAGGTGCAGGGTCCCTGTGACTTACAGAGAGACAGAGAAAGAGAGAGATAAGAGAGGTTAGGGGTCTCGGTGAGGTACACAGAGAGGGTGAGGGCAGAGGTGCGAGGTCCATGTGACCTACAGAGAGACACAGAGAGGGAGAGAGGTGAGGGTCTTAGTGAGTCACTTTCCAAGTTTCGGTTTTGTTTTCCTCTGTCAAACAAAAACTTCCTGTAATGACAGCGCGCCATATGATGATACTGATAAACGATTCGTGACGGGAAATAAAACAATAGTTTGAAAACAATGCAATCCCTGGTGTCAAATTAAGTCAACAAACAGGAAGAAGCTGTTAACACTGAAACCCAACATGACTGGGTGAAGTCGCAGTGCTGGAATGTCATACTGATATTGTGGTGTTCACTCTATTTACATTTCTCGCTAATGAAACATTATATCAGACGAATGTTATTGTTTTCTATTTGATAGACTCCTAATATGGACAGACTGGGCGGTTTTCGCTAAGATAGAGCGATGCAATTTTGACGGCACAGATCGCAAGATTCTGGTCAACACGGACATCCAATGGCCAAATGGGATTACTCTTGATGACCAAAGTACGTTTAGATCGTGAACATATTTTACGTAATAGCTGATAACGGACACACATTAATGCAACAGAACCTGTTGAAAGTCTATGATATCACTTGCAGACTTCGGTCATTCTTTTACCCCCAACATTCAGCACAATTAGGGTCATTTGACATTCTGGGGAAGACGGAAGAGGTGGGGCGCCCCGGGATGGGAAGACTCGGAGAGAGAGGAAGGGCACTGTGGTGTTTTATCGAAATATGTTTTGTTGTAATGCTTGTAAATATTCACGGCTAGGGGTTTATGTTGATAAATGTTCTCAGTAAATGCATGGTAATATTTGCGTCTAGATCTTTTTCGAAACTGCTAACAATAAGACTGCCACACAAATATGTTGTTGCAAGGTGTATTTTCTTTTTAATAAAGCTCACAGTATTTAGTCGCATAGCTATTTAAAAACATACAAGGTCATGGGTTTTTTTCAACTGAAGCACATCAAGTCTACATACAAACTCCAGCTATCACTCTTCCTTCCCATACTGACCCGTGAAGATCCGGGTTAGAATGAATCTTCAGTAACCCATGCTTGTTGTAAGAGCTGACTAACGGTATCGGGTGGTCAGGCTCGCTGGCTTGGTTGACACATGTCATCGGTGTCCAATTGCGCAGCTCGATGCTCCTGATGTTGATCACTGGATTGTCTGGTCCAGACTCGATTATTTACAGACCGCCGCCATACAGGTGGAACATCGCTGAGTGCTACGTAAAACTAAACTCACTCACTCACTCCTTCCCATGCTGTCCCACCCCCTCCCCTACAATGTAACAGAAATGCTGCAGCAAATGTGTATGTGACACAGTCCCAAGGCTTGGTTCGAAACCCTATGTTCGGTCTGCCCAGAATTGGATCATTATGTTTACAACTTCCAAACACTTCCTAAATGTTGAGGGGAACCGCAGTATAAACAGCAACGTGACAGTGAGGGAAACAGCAACTACGGAAACACCGCATCACGTACCACCAGGGTATTTGCTCATGACTTGTCAATTTATCGAAACCGTTGGCGTGTCACGTCTAGGTGACCGTGATGAGCTCCGGATTGAGAAGTGGGCTCAAATATGTAACTGGGGTCAAGGGTGTACTTACAAACTTTAAATAAGCCTGTCACTATTGACCAGCCACGAGACAACACACTTACTCTGTCACTTTTTGTATTTTATTTGGGAGTAGGCGTGGAGTTGCTGAGGTGATATTAATAAGGGGTATTCGAAACGACACAACGAAAGAGAAGAGGTCACATACGTCATAATGGTAGGGATGTTGGTGAGACATGAAAAAGTGGCATAAGTATATTCTTTCAAATTTTCAACTGAATTTAAACCTTATTTTGTCATAGGTCGTGGAAAGAAAATAATGGCTCCTGAAAACAAATTATAATTATTATAATGTACAAGGTCAGAACCATAACCTTTCTTCCATCCACTCACCGAAATACATGTCCAATCTCTAAACTGGATTTATAGGGATTATTTCTTGTTTATTGTACAGTTAATGTGAATATGTGAACCTTAACATCAACTACAGTTACATTCACTCACTCACACAACATTTCCAATGAAAGCACTAGAGAGTGCACTCGAGAGTAGGAACATTCACTCACATGACAGGAAAGGTTCTATGATTTCACAACGACGCACAAGTTTGGGTCACTTCCGCCTTTATTGTTACACATGGAAACATTGTTTTATTCTATGTACTAGTACGCAGCTCCATTACCCCCAAGTAGCGTGGACTGTCTTGATAAATATTATCGACTCAGTGATCGTTTGTCATCGTTTTCAGTGAAATTTATATTATAAATTACGAGAAGATATACCCATCCCTTTAATGCTTATAGCAACCACGTTTCGTTTCCTAAAGGTGCCCCAAAAGATGGCATTCATGAAAAAAAAGAGTGATACCAACAATATTTGTAGATTGTAATCATAATGATTGAAATCGTAATTGCAGTAGCAACAGCAACAGCAACGGCAACAGGAGCAGCAGCAGTAGAAGTATGTACACCATCTAGTCGTTATCATAGTCGTTATCATCATCATCATCATCATCATCATCACCACGCTATTATATTGTAGGCGAGACACTGTACTGGTGCGATGCTGGGGAACACCGGATCGACTCAGTCAAGCTCGACGGTACAGGCCGGCGGCAGATCCTCAATGAACCGGGCACTCATTACTTCGGTATATTCTTCTTTGAGGACGCCCTGTACTTCACGGACTGGAAGACTAAGTAAGCCTTACAAGCCTAGTCATTGTTATATGTCAGGTTTTGCATTTGGGAATGTTATTATCAACAGTTTTTTCTGATCTCAGTAGGTAATGGTGTGCTATTTCACTTCCTATTGATGAGAGGGATGAAGGAGGAACATCCCGTTTAGAGACGCTGTATTGTCATCATTCAGAGAAGACTCACCATCTCTCAGCATCTTTCTGTGCAGTTGATAGAATGGGATTTGTTTTCAAAATCTTCTACTATTTATTTTTACGTAATAATAACACGCAGTAGGGTAATGAAAAGTGGATTGTCTTTTGTTATAAATAAACAAAACAATGTTGAAATATAATATCCGATCTCTCATTGGTAATAGTGTGCTATTTCACTTCCTATTGAAGGAGGAACATCCCTGTTATATAGAGACGCTGTACAGTCATCATTCAGGGAAGACTCAGCATTTCTCAGCATCTTTCTGTGTAGTTGATAAAATGGAAATTTTTCAAAGTAATGAAACATTGACCTGCTCAGGTCGTAAATAAACAAAAGAATGTTTATAATATATTACAAGTGATATGGTTGGGTTTGATTGGATAGCCAAGCAATTATTTTCGCTAATGTTGCCAAAGTGAAACAGGCACCTAACAAACTGTTGTACAGATTTATACAGTCTCCTCGTTGTTATTGTCTGTAGTTCAATATAATTCCATTAATGAAAATGCAAACACGTGAACTACACACTTACATTTAACATTGTTTCTTCGGTGCTCTATCATGGGTCGTCATATCTTTCATAGTGCTGTACGAGCTATACATCTCAATGGAACGGAGAAGCTGAGGATCTCATCAGGGGGGTTCAAGAGCCTCACTGGCATTTATGTCACCAAACTGTCCCGTAAGTTGTGAACACGTGACGTCCAAGAGACAATTTAAAGTTATTTGTCAATATATGTCCCCATGTACCTCATGCTGTTCGTCTTGACTTAGACTAACAACTAATCACTGAAGTGAACATATTTTACAGAAAGTTCATAGTAAAAAATAAAATATAATGAAAATGAGCGCTTAGACTTTCTTCTAGACTTGCCACAATTTCTAGACTTGCGTGGGCTTTCTTGGATGTATATGCTTCAGGGTCTGTATGACAGACTAGTCTTGACGTGACCTCGTAGATCATTGCTTTCAGGGGATGATGTTTCTGTCATGCTAGAATATTCACTGACCACGTTATTTTATGAATACAGCTAGACAATGGATTACAGTAGAGTCAGATAACATGCAAACGCTATTATCTTCAAGGAAGCAGAAAAATAATAATGATAATAATAATTAATTATATAGCGGCAAACATCCATCCGTCTAGTTACTCGCTGTAATCACAATGTCATTATTATTAACCCGGATGACCCAAGCCGCCTGTGAGGCAGAAGGTTAATAGTCACCTGATTATCCCACCGGGTACCCATTTTCTGCTGGGTGAATGAGTATAGGTTTACGCTGTTTTTAACATTTAAGTATTATGACAGGGGGGACAAAAGGAATGGGCTACAGACGTTGCACCTATATAACGAATCGAACGTCTTTGGTGAGACGAATGAGTGGTATAGCACTAGGATATCATGTCGACCCAATCAGAAAATGGGTCAGAGATTGGAATAGTTTTAGAAATACATTTGAATGAATTTAGACACAGTGATATAACGATTTTGATAGTTGAAATTCTGGTCATCTCACTTCTGTATTTCTAAGTGATGTCCACTGAATGTAGTTTTTTATGTGTTCAACAGGTTGTTCCTCACACACATATGGCGAAAGCTGTGAGGAACAGTGTGGTCATTGCAAAGATGGAGTTGCGTGCAACAGGACAACAGGACTGTGTACAGAAGGATGCCAAGCAAATTATTACGGGATAACAGGTATGTTGTAGCAAACAGGATGCATGTTGAATAGGTACCACAGGTTGATATTAATTAAATCTTTTTAATCATGTTAGCACCATTTTACCTCCCTTTTTTCATTTCCAACCTATTTACTGAACTTTACTCATGATTAAAGCTTGGAATTGACATTTTTTGAAAATTTTGGGTTTTTTGGTGGCCATCTTGAATTTAGCCTCGTTCTGAGTCTGAGCTACCAAACCGTCATGGCCATCATACATTTTTGATATGTAGAGACCATAACCACTTAAAAAAAACATAACAGTGTTTGGTCCCTCTGAGTGGCACCAGAAAATTGTCTGGCTCATGGCTTAGTAGGGTCGATATCAAAATCTGTTATGAACTGCACTTGCTTGAATAACCGAGGTGAGTTTAATATACGATATAGGTAATGCTGCATCATCTGATACTTCGACTTGGTTGACACATGCCATCGCATCCTAATTGTGTAGATCGATGTTCATGCTGTTCATCACTGGATGGTCTAGTCCAGATTCGATTGTTTACAGACCGCGGCCATATAGGTGGAATATTGCGGAGTGCGACGTTAAACAACAAACAAAGAAACACTGTGAAGAAACTTCTGTTATAGGTTTCGTTTAGATTTGTCCGTTTAAGATATTTGATAAATTCTTCATTACCTTTGACAAAATAATCCTCAACGTTGTGAAACGTATACACAAAATGTTTAATTCCCATTGATAACATTCTTACCTGGTGACACAACATCCCATAAAGCTTACGCCTGTGACATTGACTTGTATTTGGGTGCTCTTATTTAAATGAATGATGGAGTAATGAAATGTCGATAAGAACAGCGCCAGCCATAATATTCAAAATCCCTAATCGCTGGATATGTGTCTTACAGATGAGAACTTCACTCTCTCATTCTTTTGTTATAATCACACTTGTCACCAGCGACGGATACTCTGGGTTCATTTCTGTCGTAAGAGGCGACTAACGGGATCGGGTGGTCAGGCTCGCTGACTTGGTTAACACATGTCATCGGTTCCCATTTGCTCAGATCGATGCTCATGCTGTTGATCACTGGATTGTCTGGTCCAGACTCGATTATTAACAGACCGCCGCCATATAGCTGGAATATTGCAGAGTGCGGCATAAAACTAAATTCACTCACTCACTCACTCACTAGGTTCATTTCACTTTCAGTCATGTTGTTTTTCAGGGAGTCGGGGCTACAACTTTTCGATGTGTAACCGGTCATGTGGTCACTGCAAGGCCGATTCCTGTCATTACCTGTCTGGGGAGTGTCCTTACGGCTGCAAGACAGGATGGAGTGGTCCAAAGTGTGATACAGGTGTGTTTTACCATCATTGACACATATTTCTACAATAGTACGATAAGGATGTTATCCAAAAAAGAAAGTATAGATATGTCCTTCTTAACCGTGCTAAATACATTTCTAAATGGGAAATATTGCGTCTTTAGCCCACCTCCTATTTCTCGCTGATTGGATATCTCATGGGTATTGTTTCATGATTATTTTTAAGTGTGCACACATCACTCCTTAAATCTGTGGGAAAGTTTTGAAATTTCCTCCACATCTCATAAAATTGAAGAATATATCGTGCAGGTTAATGACACTTGCGAAGAGAAATTTAGTAAGTTTATTTGACATTTCCGTCCTAAATGTCGTTTCTGTACAATTGCAGTTGAGTAGCCTAGTGGTTAAAGCGTTCGCTCGTCACGCCGAAGAATCGGGTTCGATTCCCCACATGGTACTATGTGTGAGCCCTTCTCTTGTGTCCCTGGCCGTGATACTGTCCGAACATTGCTAAAAGCGGCGTAAATTCATACTTACTCACTCACTCAATTTGTAAATACGTGCAAATCACCCCCTCTGAAGGATAAACACTCATCAATCCATACTATCCCCGATAACGGTATAATGTAAGGGGATCTACAGGTACATCTAATGGTCCAGAGTCACTGTGTGATCATGTTCAATATAGCCCGTCGCTATTTGCGTTCTGAACTGGTATGAAATGTTTCTAACGGAAGCATCAAGATGGGATAGGCTGTAATTGAGGACGAAGGTTCTTTATACAGACACTGCAGATGGCTCTTAATTACGTAGCTATTTTTACCTCACTGTACGTAATATACACATTTTACCATAACAAATTGTGCATTAAACCGGATGTGCAAAGTAATTTGTCTTTAAAGCAAGAAGGTACGTTTTGCATTAGATTTTACAAGTCGTATGAGAATGATCTACGCCTTAGTAAAACTGCAGTGATTATGATGTTCGTGAGATAATTCTAGCATGGGTCTTCATATAAAAGTGGTTCTGGTTACAATGTGTGTTAAACGTAAAGTCATTAAAACCGACCTGTTAAATTATCAAGAGGTATGAGTTGTTCGGGTTTAACGCCGTAGAGTTGGCACAATTTGACACAAACGTGACACGAGAGCAATGAAGCAATACCATTTGACCTGATACGTATTGAGGTACGATACTAATTATAGTACTGTAATGTTCTATGTAGGGCAGTCACGTTTGTACCTTTATGAATACATGTTTGTGTCGCTACAGGAACGCTTGTACTTTTGTAAAAGTTCCAAAACAAACACACTTGTATTTTGGGCAGAAATTATCGTAACAACGGAAACCAGTTCCTTGTCGACGGATACGTCAACGGATCCATTAACGGATACTACGCGCGGTCCAGCTCAAATCGGCAATGGCAGCACTACTTGTGGTAAGATGGGTAACTATGGCGACGGATGCAAGTACAAGTGCGGTGCTTGTGCTAACCATGCTCACTGCAACAGCCAGACTGGGGAGTGCCCACAACACTGTGCCTGCGGATGGGAAGGGAGCCAATGTAACCATAGGCTGGTGGGTAGGTATCTCACATAGAACTCTCCCAGATGTATATAGCATAGTTTTATCTGCATCCTGCCACACTTTCAAACAGGTCACGAACCCCAACCATTGAGCAATGGAAGTTTGTTAACGCAAAACATGTGGCAAAGGCAATTTATGTGTTATCTGCAATATTTAATGGAGGTTTATCGTTGTAAGTCTCAATTTCTCATCTCAATTTCTCAATTGGGTTTTGATTTGAGTTGAGGTATTGTTAATTATATGTGTGTTAAATATATATGTGTGTGTCTGTGTGTATATACATATTTGTGTGTGTCTATGTACCTATCTATCAAGATAGATACATAGATACATACATGCATGAATGCATACATACATACATACATACATACATACATACATACATACATACATACATACATACATACATACATACATACATACCTGCATACATACATACATACATACATACATACATACATACATACATACATACATACATACATACATACATACATACATACATACATACATACATACATACATACATACATACATACATACATACATACATACATACATACATACATACATACATACATACATACATACATACATTTCCCGTACACGCTGACGATGACAAAGAAAATATATTTTTTCCATGTTTCTGTTCCATCAGACAACCGGGATTGTACTCAAGTGTTACCCGAGACTAGAAACCTTAGTGCAGAGGCCTCACACAGCATAGGTAAATGCCAGTACAGATTGTTTTATTAATGTGATATGTGTAATGACGGTATCATTTTCTGTCCGGTCTATGCACTGCTTGCTGCCAGTGTTACAGACAACTGTGATAAAACTGATCATTAAGTTTTACAGTACTATTCTGTAGTCACTCAGCAAACTTTAACTGCAATAAATTTAATTTCTATAATTCTTCTATATGTATATTCTGTGCACAAATATTTGTTGATCGTGAAACATATTTGTAGTACTACATAAATTTTGTTTAAATAGTTATAAGGAGATACCCGTGAAGATCAGGGTTACAATTGGCCTTCAGGAATCCACGATTGTCGTAAAAGGCGCCTAACGGGATCAGTGGTCATCGTATCCCAACTGCCCTGATCAATGTTGATGATGTCAGTCACTGGATTGTCTGGCGCACACTCGGATAATTTACATACAATATACCAATAATATTGCTGAGTGTGGCGTAAAACAATCAGACAAACAAACTGTCATTAGGAATGCATAATATTTTCAGACTATGCAGTGCCGGTGATGATTGCTGTAATAGTGGCCTTGGTGATTGTTATTGCCGTACTGGTGGTATTGATCTTTAGGTAAGTAGAGGTTAATCACATATTGAACGTCAGTATCAGAAAACACCTGTGTTTTATTTCGAAAAAAAAAAATATCTCAGAAAATGCATTAACAATATTTCTGCTTCAAACTAATGAAAAAATAGAAATTATCCGCCGCAAAAATATAAGTCTTTTTTAAAAGAAAATTATTTAAGTTATAACATAGAATTTTCAAATTCATTTCCACGACAGGATTCACTACGTTTTAAAGCAGTCCCTTTGTGTTTGTATTACAGGTCACGCCGAGCTAAAGAAAGCCAGTACAACAATCTACAGTTCAACAGTGACACTGGTGCCTCAAGCATCAATGATGAAAACGTTGAATACAATGTTGTCAGTGAGGTACAATGTCAACAACAAACGGAGGCAAACGCCAGTTCGCAGCTTCATCCCCAGCCAGATGTTCTTCCCGCAAGTGACAAATGTTGCGACGCAATCAGCGATGACGTGGTGGAGGATGCTGAAACAGACATGAACAACGATTCTGGATATGCAGCATTGGACTTCGTGAACAGGAAGGAGTGAAGTGAAGTTTAAAGGAAAACCAAGTTCTATGGATAGTCAGTTTCTTTATTGCAATGAATGCGACATTTCGGTGTAGATACTAACACCATCAAGCATGAATGCGACGTTTCGGTGTAGATACGAACACCGTTTTCAAGCAAGTACTATACACCGAAACATCATTGCAATAAAGAAGTTGACTATCTATAGAACTTGGTTTTCCTTCGTCTTTACAACTTCTAAAATGCCTCTCAAAGGAGTGAGGTATATACCAAAATTACTTAATCGGAGTTTACCGAATTGTGATCTTCTTCGTCGGACTGTAGTAAGCAAGTGTGTGGTTTTTGGTTTAACGCTGATTTGAACATATCACTGTTCAGTCAAGGTGCGAGCGATAATGTAATATCGGCGTGTAGACGTTTACGTTGTTAAACCCGCCATCATGGGAAAATGATGCTGAGTGAGTGAGTGAGTGTGAGAGAGTGAGTGAGTGGGTTTGGGTGTGCGTGAGTAAGTGTACGGTTCCGCTGTTGTGTGCCTCACCAGCACGGGTATGACGCCAACCAATCCAGAAACATAATTGGATAAGGTGATGGTAAAATTGGGTTTTAACGTCGTGCTTGAGAATATTTCGCTCATATGACGACATGCATGCGTGTGTATGTGTATGTGCGGCTGCTTGTACTAGCCCAGACTTAAGCTGGTTTTATAGTGCTAGCCCACTCAGATACCATGCCGCAGTGAAGCATGAGTACCCCACTCAGACACATTATACTGACCCCGAGCCGACCAGTCCTTGTTATACCCATTAATGCCGAGCGCCAGGCAGGGATCAACAAGTACCATATTTTAACGTCTTTTGGTATGACGCGGTCGGGGATCGAACCCGCGACCTTCCGCTCTCCGGGCGGGCGCTCTAACCACTACACCACGGAGGCGGGTTTGGGTTAGGAGTTGAACCCACAACGGATTCGGTAGTGTCCAAGTCAACCCTGCAAATTTGGGGCCTCAAACTACTCGGCCACGTTCAGTTGACAGTGAATTGTCATTTTCACATTTTAAGGGATAGAGTCTCCAAAACAGTATTGACATAGAAATAATTATACTTAATCATTTGTACTTACTTAGAAGGGTGTGCAGTACACTGAGTATCTGAGGATAATTGGTTTCCTCAATCATATTTTGTTGGCAAAGGGTAAAACGATTACAACAACAATGTACATATTTGTATGCATATAATTAACAAATCATTTTATGGTTTAGTGTTTATAAGAATATTCAGATATGGAATTGTTCGTAAGTGGCAGGTCATGCGATGAGGTGGTCAAGATAACTTGATTGATGCATGTCATCGTAAACCAGTTGTGTAGATCTTTGCTCATGATGTCAATCATTCGATTATCTGGCCCCCATTTGGTATATTGACACCGCCGTGGTATAGCTGAAATATTGCTGAATGTAAGATTACACTAAAACAAAATCTTAAACGGTAAAAATATGTCGTATGGAGTGATATTATATCAATTTGGAATTTTTACTGTCAATGGAAATTAAGTAATTAATACAGTTTATATCCTCTATGTCGCTGTTTAACGCACATTCCGACCAAATTCCTTTACATGATGCACTCCACGTAACAACTGAATATGTCTATGTTGATTATAACATATGAGAATATCTGACACTCGCATTTACGTTCGAGAAATATTCGATAAGGTCACAGCTGTTGTTGATAACATATCATAGTTTGTAATGATATATGATATGTCGCTGTCTGATTACACGTTATCAGGAAGTTGCAACGGAAACATTGACACCGACTTATATAAGAGGTTCCGTTATCCAAATAAGGCCTGGCATGTGATCTTTTGCTGTACAATGTTGAGTTCACACAGAATTATGGTAATTAATTTTCGGTTCATATTCTGAAATTCTCTGTGATTCATTATTAATTTACGTGTACGTTAATGCCTGCTTACTAGCTAGACTGGATCAATGAGATATTTGCTATTTCTTTTTCTAAACTTCAGTGAAGATCCGGGTTAGAATTGATCTTCATCAACCCATGCTTGCCGTAAGTGGCGACTAACGGGATCTGGTTGTCAGGTTCGCTGACTTGGTTGACACATGTCATCGTATCTTATTTGCTTAGATTGATGGTCATGATGTTGATCACTAGATTGTCTGGTCCGGACTCGATTATTTATAGGCCACCGCCGTATAAATGGAATATTGCTGAGTGCGGCGTAAAACAACAAACCAAGCAATCTTTTGCAAAAGCATTTAGCAATATCACTTTGCGTTAATATTGTTGCAATAATACAAGGGAAATCAGCTTGACATCATGTATGTTATAATGTAGTATTATGCCAATACGTATTTTTAATTTTCTCTGGCAATGCAATGCTTCGTACAATTTTCCAAAATATGGCTACTACGAATTCATTGCTTCCATGGGGGGAATTGAATGATATCTACCTGATAACTATTTATGAACATACTCAATTGCCCGTTACAACCAAGTACTTAATTTAAAATGTTTTTGCTACTTTTGTAGCAAGAGAGTACTACGTTTTGTGGCAACATATTTTTTTGCATTTTGTTATACTGCCATTTGACGTATTAATATTGATCTGCATTTATATCTATTTTTATTTCACTGACCACCAAATAGTGGAAATAACCTTGCGTGAGCATGTATATAAATTTATATATAATATCGCACGAACAATCTGTTAATACTCTGAACAACGAATCTACTTTGTTACAACGTTGAATGTTTGTTGAATTGTATATTGTTATTGAAGTCTTTCAATCGATATTATGATGATTGTAATGTGAATACATTATGCAATACAGGTCAATATTACCGGCATAGTCAGTCAGATTAGTGTGGGAAAAACGACAAAGACATTTTTATTTGGTTGTATCCTGTGCTGCAGACGCGTTGGAGTTTTATCCTCAGATACAAATACAAGAAAAATGGTATTGTTGAAATTCAACAATATTTCAAATGGGTTATCCACAATATTCTATTCTCAAAAACCCTAATGTCTTCCGAATGCTGACAGGCTATGATATTATTTCTTATACGTGTATTGAAACGCCCATTGTCTGTGTAATGTTTCCAAAAGTGCAATAACTGGGAGTCAAAAGAGACTCTCCCTTTGTCTAAATACACAGCATGTTTGATTTTCTGTACTTGAAAACATCTCAAGTTTCCAATATCGTGTATGAAAAGTACTAAAACTTAGTCAGCAATAAGTTAAATGTTATATTTTATTTAAAAACAATAATGCCCGACTGTGGACTAGTATCTTCGAAAGTGAAATTTTAAACTTCAATACATTTGCCTAAATATCGTGGAAATCATGTATTTGTAAAGTCATTTCGATCTTGACTGAAACACATATTTTACACACAATTACTCTGTGATAGATATTGTCAAATATGACGACATTTGTTTGAATTGTTTATTGCATAGAAAACTGGGTATACTTAATTTTGCCCCTCAGTATATATAACGCCAGAGAATAACCATTAACAATTATCCGCCGACACAGATTCCTCGGACCTACATGAAAACTAGGTGAAAATCAGTAATTACACCAGGTGTCCATACATTCTCTGGCGTTTTCAATGTATACATAATGCGTCTTTGTATGTTGTTTTTCTGTAATAAATATTTTGTGTTACTCTCTTGACATTTTACTTTTTCTAGCCATATAGTGTGATATCACTTGTTAAAAATATCAACGATGAGGTACGGTAACTGAGAAGATAGGGGTAATTAAATTATCCGTATCATAGTAAGACTCAGCATGACCTCATTTACGTTGAATGTCAGTAGACTGGCTAATGCATCGCCAAACTGTTCTAGCTGAGACTCATAGGGTATATGTCCGGGGCCTTAGGGACAGTTCATAATTTATGGCTGGGGAGTGTGTGGGGTGTGTGTGTGTGATGAGTGAGTAAGTTTAGTTTTACGCCGCACTCTGCAATATTCCAGCTATATGGCGGCGGTCTGCAAATAATCGAGTCTGGACCAGACAATCCAGTGATCAACAGCATGAGCATCGATCTGCGCAATTGGGTACCGATGACATGTTTCAACCAAGTCAGCGAGCCTGACCGCCCGATCCCGTTAGTCGCCTCTTACAAGAAGCATGGGTTACTGAAGATCAATATTCTAACCCGGACCTTCTCGGATTGGGGGTGTGATGACGATATTTATGGAGAAGCATGTACAATGTGACTCCCCCCCCCCCCCCCCACACACAAACCTAGTGCATATGTACAAGATTGATGAGCCCCCCTACCTCCCCAGAACAAAAATCATCATCACCCCTCCTAGCCATAACTTATGAAATGTCCCTCATCCATCGAAAATGTGTTAAAGGGCAAGTTTACACGAGAATTAAGTTTTTTGTCTTGCTCTTTTTCGGCGTAAAATGTTTTTTTCAAGTGGTTTCTTAGCAAAAACAGTAAAGATATCACAAACAACTGCTATATATTTTGCATTATTTCGATTCATATTTTGGACATTTACCGAAGGTTCTATGTCAATAATAAACACACCATGGCTTATGTCCTTTGTAATATGACATCATTGGTGCCAAACTGACAAACGAATGACGTAATTAGACCTTATTAGACATATTTTACGTGATCCAGTTCCACACTGTGAGGACGCTGCAGTTTGAAAAAAACAAACGTATACATTGCACAAAAAGTGCTACCACGTAACCAAAGTGTTCAGAATACAACAGACTGTGATTGCTGCACATTATAAATGTCAATCATCATCACAAAATTGTACATTCAACCTGCTCGTGCCGGTCGCCCGTGAACATCCGGTTAGAATTGGTCTCCAGTAACCCATGCTTGTCGTAAGAGGCGACTAACGGGATCGGGTGGTCAGGCTCGCTGACTTGGTTGACACATGTCAACAGTTCCCGATTGTGCAAATCGATGCTTATGCTGTTGATGTCTAGAGTGTCTGGTCCAGACTTGATAATGTACAGACCGCCGCCTAATCGCTGGATTATTGCTGAGTGCGGCGTAAAACTACACCCACTCACCTTTCCAACAGTATCTTCTTTCCGCAAAACTAAAACGTATATGCTCTGCATCCACATTTGTTCGTGTACACTTCCCCTTTAAGAAAAAAGCGATGGTCAATCCCTTACGGGAAGTGCTTTATGTATAGTAATGAGAATCTTGGATACATGTTTATACATGTGGAAGATGATACACAGATAAACACGTATCCTGTCATCTCAACTCTGACAGGAGATCCTGGTCTGTCTGTCTGGGATGACGCCGTAACCAATGGAATACGCTATTGTATCAGCCGGAGGTTGCCATTATCATCAATATTATAGCAGTGCAGTGCGGTAGCTTAGTGGTTAAAGCGTTCGCTCGTCACGCCGAAGACCCAGGTTCGGTTCC